CCATTACAAATCAATTGCAAATAGAATCTTGTATTTTAGATATTGTGGAAAAAAATTGTTTTTGTGATTATTTAGCTTGAGATGAGCCAAACGGTTTGCAGTTCATATATTAGTAGAATGTAAAACATCAACCATCCAATAGAAGGGCTAACAATCATTATTAGAATTAATAACATATTGATTCAAATAAAAAAATTAATTTTTTAAGTAAATTCTTGGGTTTGAATATTATAAATAAAAAAATAAATATTAAAATTTTCTCTTTTTTTTTTATGTTTGACACCACTCAATAATTAATATTTCATAGTCCTTTCTACAAAATACTTCTTTATTTTGAAATATAATATGTTATTATTTTTAAATTTTAGTTTCAAGTGTTAGTTTTGGTTATTCAAATTTCAGCCATCAAAATTATAAACTAAAAATAGAATTACCAAACAAGACATCAACCAAAAAGCTTTGACGGACTTAATTGAGATTAAGAGTGTCTTTATCAAAACAAATGACTCAATTCAGAGACCAATCTTAAATTTCTTTGGGGGGTACCGGGTAGTTTTCCGGGTAAGTTTATTGATAAATTCGACCCGAAAAGAGAGAGCAAGATCATCCCCTTCCTCCCGCCGTCTCATTCCTGAAAAAAACGAAAAAAAAAACCACTTTAACCCTAAAAAGTAGAAACCCAAAAATCTAAGTCATATTCCTTGGAGCTTTAAGCTGTAAATGCTTCCTTCTGGTGGTCTTGAAGAGAATAAGGAGAGGGTTCTGCTGTTGAATGCTCTCTCTGTTTCACTCCCTCACAATCCCTCTTTATTTCATGTCTTCTATCACGGACTCTCTCTGCTGTGCTCATCCAGGGTCCTTGCAAACCCTAGACACTGATTTCTATCATATACCTTTCATTTCCTGCTTAGCTCCTAGCCGTCAAAGTCGAAAGCTTTTGGGGTTTCATATTTGGGCTCTGCGTGGTCAAGTTTGGTTCTGTACAAAACATGAGTGATTCTGAGGTAGGTGATTCCATGTTTGTGCTATTAATTACTCTACTCTGGAAAGTTTGAAACTTTAGCGTTGTTTTGAGTGGTTTCGAGATGGTTTTTTTTTTTTTTTTTTTTTTTTT